CCAGAGGGACCCTCCGCCGTCACAGAGGGACCGTCCTCCGTCACAGAGGGGCCGTCCTCCGTCACAGAGGGACCGTCCTCCTTCAGAGAGGGACCGTCCTCCGTCACAGAGGGACCGTCCTCCGTCACAGAGAGACCGTCCTCCGTCACAGAGGGACCGTCCTCCATATTACAATGTTACTATTATTATTGTTGTTGCTCAGGATTTATGTAGCGCCAGCAGTTTGCACGGCGCTGTGCGATATACAGAGAGCTCAGTGACAATACAATTGAAGACAAGGTTACATTGTGTGTATTTGGGGAGATTTGACATTTAAATTGGGTCTCTGAGAATCATTTACAAAGTTTTATTTTTTGGGGGGGAATTGTATGAAATAACATTTTCAGCCCAACTTGGAATTTATAGTTGAGAATCAAAATCCGGCAAAAAGAACTGAAGGACTCCACTTCCCAGAATCCCCTGCGATGGAGGCAGGAAGTGATGCGGGTTGTCATCTCCCAGCCGGTCGGAGCCTCTGTTGTCTCTCCATCCTGAACTTCCTGTGTGTGGGGGGGACTGAGGATCTGCTACAACAATCAGGTATCATGTGTGAGGCCGGGGACATCCTTCACCCTGGGGTACCAAGTCTGTGTGTGTGTGTGTGTGCATGGAGTACCATCAGCCTGGGGGGTACTACAAGTCTCAGCATGGCCTGCCAGGCACAGGGCTCACTCTTATTCTGGTTTCGGAGAGTCTTTTGGCTTAGAAGGTGCTGTGGAACTACAACTCCCATCATTATATCAGTCAGCTGTGTACACCATAGGCTTGCGGCTCATCGCGGAACTAAAACGACCAGCGCTTCCTGCTAGCCGAGTAAGCGGTGTCGTTAGCTTGGCGTAGAACTACAACTCCCAGCCTGCCTTGTCTGTGATTTCTAACCGCGGTGGTACTACAAGTCCCAGCGTGTCCCGTTTCTATCCATACATGCTGCGGACTCTCCCGGTGAGCTGGCAATGGCAGCAGGTTTGGTGCACGCCGGTGTTGGATGAAAGGAACATTCACCTTTTATAATAAAGAGATTTCATTGTCGACATTCCGCTACATTGTATGTGACCATCGGAGGGGATTCCCGGGTATCCCCGGCGGCGCGGGCGCTCGAAGTGACCGCGGACGGCGCCGCCAATACTGAAACTTGTTAAATATGTCGCCGGCACACCATTTCCAGCCTGATGAAGGGGACCCTGTGTGGCCCCCGAAAACGTTGCTATTTGTTTTGACATGAAGCGTCAATAAACGGACGTGTTCTTCACTGCAATATGCGCTGGCGACATCTTTAAAAGGAGAACGATGAGGGGGGTGAAAATCACTGATCCTCATAATCTGAGCCGACGTGTGACAATGACATGGGGTGGCTGCATTAGTTTTCAGGTTTTTATACCGGTGAGCCTGCCAGTAACACACTTCCTGTTGACAACACTCACTGTACTGTACCTATGGAGTAGCAATGTTGTCACCTTAAAGGAGAACTATGAGGGGGAGTGATTTTCACTGATCCTCATAATCTGAGCCGACGTGTGACAATGAGACTGTCACAGGTCGGCTCCATAGATCGGGAAGCGAGGGAACACATACCGGCGCTCGCTCACTTCTCGATCTATCCGTGCAGAGAGCTGTGACTGTCACTCACGGCTCCCTGCAGGGATTCTCCCCCTCCCCTGTCCGATACTCCAGCGCTGACTGGCAGAACGGACGGGGGAGGGGCGGGCACAGCTGGCTCCGCCTCTAGATAGGCGGAGCCAGCTGTCAGTCACGCAGCTGGGCGGATCCAGACAGAATTGTCGGGATCCGCTCCGGCTGCGGCGTCTCAGTATACCGCGAGCTGTAGCTCCCTATATACTGAGCTTCATTATTATTATGACCTTTCAATGCATTTATTCCTGATGTGCGGCGTTCTCACAAATGTCGTCTTTTTTGGTATCTAAATATAAGAATGAAAGCAGCATCAGTCCTTAGATGGGGTGGCTGCATTAGTTTTCAGGTTTTTATACCGGTGATCCTGCCAGTAACACACTTCCTGTTGACAACACTCACTGTACTCTACCTATGGAGTAGCAATGTTGTCACCTTGAAGAAGAATGATGAGGAGGAGTGATTTTCACTCAGCCTCATAATCTGAGCCGGCCTGTGACAATGAGACTGTCACAGGTCGGCTCTATAGACTGGGAAGTGAGCGAACACATACCGGCGCTCGCTCACTTCTCGATCTATCCGTGCAGAGAGTGGTGACTGTCACGGCTCCCTGCAGGGATTCCCCCCTCCCCGCTCCGCCAGCGCTGACTGGCGGAACGGACGGGGGAGGGGGAGGGCACAGCTGGCTCTGCCTCTAGATAGGAGGAGCCAGCTGTCACTCACGCAGCTGGGCGGATCCAGACAATTGTCGGGATCCGCTGCGGCGTCTCAGTATACCGCGAGCTGTAGCTCCCTATATACTGAGCTTAGGGTGACGGGAGGACGCTAGTTTGTGACCCCCCGTTACCCTGAGGAGAACTATGGGGAAAAGCCCTGACCCCGTACTTCTCCTTTAACAAACATCGGAGGGGAATGTCTCAGCAGACGTCATGTGATTGGAGGTTCCGGCATTCTGGTATGTTGGCGGCTTGGAGTAGAAATCAGAAATTCAGGCGACAGTGCCGGCCTTCCGGGGTCTACAAATACAACAGACATTATACATCCAATATCAATAGATACGCAATCAGCATTACAATGGTTTGTAATCCGTCCTTCATCAACACGTCTCCCTATCTTGGCGCCAACAGTGAGCGCAGCGCTGTACAATATAAGGAAGACATTACAGTCACAATACAAGATGGTGAGGAGGCCCCGCCCCCGAGGGGCTTACAATCTAAAAGTACAGATTTAAAGGATTTTCCCCAAGAGCAGATGTACGTCCAGCCAAGTCCACTCTTCACTCCCATCACAAGGGGGAAATGTTATACAGGATTAGATATGACTCATTCTGGGGAAAGAACGGATGATGATTGATGATGATGGATGATGAGGATGATAATGGATGATGAGGATGATTGATGCTGATAATTGATGATGATGATAATTGATGCTGATAATGGATGATGATGATAATTGATGATAATGAATGATGATGATGATTGATGATGATGATAATCGATGATGATAACTGATGATGATGATAACTGATGATGATGATAATTGATGATGATGATAATTGATGATAATTGATGATGATAATTGATGATGATGATGATGATAATTGATGATGATGATTGATGATGATAATGGATGATGATGATGATAATTGATGATGATGATAATTGATGATGATGATTGATGATGATAATGGATGATAATTGATGATGATGATAATGGATGATGATTATAATGGATGATGATGATAATGGATGATGATTATAATGGATGATGATGATAATGGATGATGATGATAGATGATAATTGATGATGATGATAATTGATGATGATAATTGATGATGATGATAATGGATGATGATGATGATGATTGATGATGATAATGGATGATGATGATGATGATAATTGATGATGATAATTGATGATGATGATGATGATGATTGATGATGATAATGGATGATAATTGATGATGATGATAATGGATGATGATTATAATGGATGATGATGATAATGGATGATGATGATAATTGATGATGATGATAATTGATGATGATAATGGATGATGATGATGATGATGATAATGGATGATGATGATGATGATGATGATGATAATTGATGATGATGATGATGATGATAATTGATGATGATGATGATTGATGCTGATAATGGATGATGATGATGATTGATGCTGATAATGGATGATGATGATGATTGATGATGATAATGGATGATGATGATGATGATAATTGATGATGATAATTGATGATGATGATGATTGATGATGATAATGGATGATGATGATAATGGATGATGATGATAATGGATGATGATGATAATGGATGATGATGATAATGGATGATGATGATGAAACTGTGTTTGTAATATGGCAGCTGCCGTGTATAATCCGGTCCATATGAACCTTCAGTTCTCTTGTAATTGGGCTCCGTCTTGTCCGCAGGTGGACGCCATGCCGAAATGCATCTTCAGATCCTGCCCGCACTTCCTGGGAAAGAACTGCTTCTCCCCGGGAATAACGCTGCACGTCTTCCCCCGAGACCTCGGCCGGATCAAGCTTTGGCTGCAGCGGACCGGTCAGTACTATGACGACGTTGATGACATTGCCGAGACCATTTTGTCTTCGAAGGCCGGTTCTTACCGCATGTGCTCCGCCCACTTCGTTCCCGAATGTTACACGTCTCAGGGGACCAAAGAGGTCCTCAAGCCAGACGCCGTGCCCACGGTTTTCCCCGGGAACGTGGTGGAAGTCGCCATAAAGCACGTTCCTCAGAAGAAGAAGCAGCGCCTGGAAGAGAGGGAGGCCAGGAGAAGGGCCCGCTGGACCCAGGTGGACGCCGGCACCTCCACCGTACACATCATACAGACAGAGATGGGCACGCAGACTGACCTCACCACGGTGACCATCCAGCCTTGCTCCCTCAGTGTTCCTCGCGGGAATACCATCGACAGGGGCGTCCAGTGGCCTGAATACGAGTTCAATTTTTATGGGGAGGACTGGAAGGTGCAGCTGGACCACATGTATTTTAACAGCAGATTTAAATGCATCCAGGAGCTACCAAACATGGACCAGGAAGAGATCATGAAGGACCGTCATCAAGCCCCTTCCACCGCACAGCCACATGGCTCCTCCCAGGAGGAGGAGCGCGTTACCCGACAGGAGCCTCGCAAGGCGGAGTCTGAAACTGGCACCTCCCCCGAGACGCCGGAAGGATACTTCTTCTCCAAATGTTCCTTGAGGAACAAGAAAACATTATGTATCCTTCAGGCCAAACTGGTGAGTATACGGTATATATTTTATGGGGAACCTCAGCCTAAGTGGGAAGTATTAAAGGAGAAGTACGGGGTCGGGGCTTTCCCCCATAGGTCTCCTTAGGGTAACGGGAGGTCACAAACTAGCGTCCTCCCGTCACCCCAGGCTCAGTATATAGGGAGCTACAGCTCGCGGTATACTGAGACGCCGCAGCCGGAGCGGATCCCGACGTAGATGACGGGATCCGCCCAGATGTGTGACTGACAGCTGGCTCCGCCTATCTAGAGGCAGAGCCAGCTGTACCCTCCCCCGTCCGTTCCGCCAGTCAGCGCTGGAGGATCGGAGCGGGGAGAGGGGAATCCAGCCCCTCCCCTGTCACGGCAGAGAGCCGTGACAGGATCGAGAAGTGAGCGAACGCCGGTATGTGTTCGCTCACCTCCCGATCTACTGAGCCGACCTGTGACAGTCTCATTGTCACAGGTCGGCTAGAACTATGAGGA